TTAATTAAAGTCCACAAAAAGCACACACAGAAAAAGTGCAACAATGGAAACTGAACAATCTGTGGGTTTATATGAGACCATGATGCTGCTCTACTCTCGTTTACTATTATTCCAATTACCTCATGGAGCTACGATTCATCACACTTTAACATGCCTAGGATTGATTTCTTACAATCTGACACAGATTGCAATCAATATCTTGTTATACCCATCGCGCATATTGTGACATACGATAACCTAAACAAAGAAAAAGTAAAGCATTTCCCATCTCAAGGATGTTTTTGGTGTTAAAGTTAAATGGATTAACTTTAAAGGACTATTTATTCAGTAGGAAGTACAGACAGCTAAAACAATTAATTGTTTCCAAGTTTTGTTGTTTTAAAGATTTTAGAGACACAAACAAAGATAGAAACTGAGCCATCTGATGCCACTAAATGTTTTTAAAGCTTGGTTGGATGCTACTCAATCGGAAGCTGTTGGTACCTGTTCATGTGGATAGTTATGTAAATTGTAAATCCCTGTAATGATGCTGTATGATGTCCTTTTTGTTGTTCTGTTTATGTTTTTATGTGTCATGTAGAACCTACTTGAGCAGGGGGGTATACTACGAAGCAGGATTTTCGCTTAGCTGGCTAACTTCAGGGAAAACTCAGGGTTTCCGTTCCTACGAAGCTGATTCTCTTTTTAGCAGGCTAGATCTCCATGGTAACTTATGCTGTGCGGCTAACCTGCCCCGGAGCAGGTTAGGTTGCAGGCTAAGAGCTCAACTCAGTGAAAGCACCGCCTGCTGACCAATCAGAGCTCAGTGTGCGGAGTTTAAAGCGATGCCAAGGATGGTTACAGGAGAAGGAAATCAAGAAAAGCTGCCGTTGCAGAAGCGGCCGGCAAAATCACCGATTGTAGAACGTGAACGATTAATAGATATCACCCCCATCTTCAGGCAATCTGGATCTATTATAACACTTAGCAGTTAAGAAAGCTTACTTAATACTTCCACAACATAGTAACCGGATCAGGCACATTACAGTACAGTCTGTGGGCATAATCAACATCATATGTATCATATATTTCCTTAATCTGCAATCAGCTGAGCCGTATATCTGGCCGTGCAACCACTCAACAGTGCTCACATCACTGTACGCAGTATTATTTAAGCAACACATTAAGTTGACGAAACACTAGAGACAAATGTATTCAAAAGTCAGATCCAACTCAATTGTCTTAGACGGCAGTATATCATTAAACCTGTTAATGTGTACGCATCAACACTTTTCTTTTACCAGCTGTTCACCTTGCAGGTGCAGCTATGTGGCTTTTATCCTGGTAAGTGTTTAAGTCAGATGTTTAAAGTTTAACTTTCATATGTCTAATATTATAGTTGACTTTCTTTAGGAAGTATGACGCTGCGCTGTGAGTATGCTTCTCCATGTTTTGTGGATTGGTCGACATGCTCCAGATCCCACCCTTTTCATGTGAACGCGCATACTACAGTAGATAGGGCAGGGCTGGCCTTGGAGCGATCCACTTGATAACCCGCGTCGTAGTACGTTTAGCGGAGAGCCCGTATGTTTTGGATTAGGCCACCGGGTAACTAACAATATCCAGGTTAGGTTGAACCAGCTTCGTAGTATACCCCCAGGTCTCCCTTGAAAAAGAGATCAATGATCTTTCAATGGGATACCACCTGGATAAATAAAGGTTTGAAATGAAATGAAAATAGCAGCAAATATCCTCACGAGAAATCATGAATAGATGAACTTCTTTATGGCTACAGGTCAGTACTAGGTGTTAGTGGAAATCATGTCTGTTTACGATATAATTGGACTGATCCTTTAAAAATATCCCTTAAAACAATGCCTATGTCTTTAAGCAAAAACGTTCACGTTGCCAAACAGTCATGTAAATGTACACAGCAACACTAATCAGTATCAAACAAAAACATTTAACAGACTCTAAATAAAAGCAGCTATATGTTGTAGCAATGTATTGCCACGGGGCGATGAACAAAACAAACACGCTCACACACACACAAACACACCACACAAACACACACAACCACACACACACACACACACACACACACAACAACAACAACCACACACACACACACACAACACACACACACACGCTCACAACACTCCCTGTCTATGATTCGGGGGGTTAAAGTGACCCTCCCCCTCTCTACTGAGCATGAATCCTGCCGTCCTGTGCATCGCCCGTGAGACAATGATTAATGACAGAACGCACGGCCTCTGGTGGTCAACACACAGCCGATGGGCATCCCTGCCAGGGGGGCGGGAACCCTTACAGGGCAACTTTGTGACAGTGAGGATGTTCAGGCCGTCACACGCCTGCTTAGCATCAACAAGCACATCTCTCCTACCTTTCAGATTATCATCCAATCATACGGAGAGGCTGACATATTTGAAGATATTTAACATCGGTTTGGGCATGGCCGGGAACGTGTGTGTGTGTTGTGTGTGTGTGCGTGTGTGTGTGTGGTGGTGTGTGTGTGTGGTGTGTGTGGTGTGTTTTTTTGTTGTTGGTTGTTTTGTGTGTGTGTGTGTTGTGTGATGTGTTGTGTGGTGTGTGTGTGTGTGTGTGTGGCCTGTGTGTGTGGTGTGTGTGTGTGTTGTGTGGTTATGGTGTGTGTGTGTGTGTGGTATTGGGTGTGTGTGAGAAGGAGGGGAAAGTGAAATGAGCAACTGGTGGTGTGTGTTGAGTCAAGTATGGGGGTGTTTGATGAAGTGCCTGAGTGGATGCTGACAGCACACACATACACGCGCAACACGCACACCACCACACACAACACACACACACACCAACAACACACACACACCCCAACACACACACACACACACACACAGCCCTCTGGCCCTGTGGAAAAGGGCCTGCAGGGTATTGCCACTCTCAGGCTCAGCACAGAATCAGAGAGCGACGGCGCGATAACTCCGGGGGTGAAACAGATCCATCGCCACGCCAATTGAATTCACAACCACCCGTGTTTTGAAATATTGTGCTTATTTTATTTATTAGCAGTCCACGAGTGCACCAGATCTAAGATTTGATCATTCCGTCTCAGATTCCCTGCTGTGCCGCTTTGCTTGAAACACTCCCAAAAAATAATCTCCTCATTTTCCTAATTTCCTCTCCCTTGCCGTGGTTGGTATCAGTGTGTGCTGATCTGGTTGCGGCTTTAAAGGGGGGGGGTTTTTAGTCACTGGGGGACAACATCAGATACAAGGACTGAAAAGCTAAATCTCACAACGGGAATGTCGTTATAACCCACATCTACAAACAAAACAATCAGGATACAACTCAAATGATGCGAAGTACACTGGCTGGGCAAATCTTATTCGAAAAAACACAAAAGACAAAATTGAAACAAATGGAGCTATTAAAGTGTGAAATGTGGAAAAACTGCTTCTTAAAAAAAATGGGGGGCTTTTATTTTCTTCTACATCATAGCACTACAATTTCATTCCACACATAAATCAGAGAGAGCAGCGATACCTTGGGGGTGAAACGTCTTGCCAGACCCCTCCACTCTTCACCACTAGAGCTAATTAATCATCAACCAACCTGTTTGAATATTTGTGCTATATTTCATTTATGTAGGCAGTCCACGAGTGCACCACATCTAAGATGTTATTCATCGTCTCAGATTCCCTGCTGTGCCGCTTTTGCTTGAACACTCCACGACTCCAAAAAAGTGTCTCCTCACTCTCTTCACTGAGGCTGATGGTTAGTGGCGGCTGCAGATAGTCAGTTTGGCTGGATCTTGGTGACAGAGGACCCAGATTTAGCTCCTGTGGAGATGGACGGGTCCAGTCCGTCTTCCTTGCCCCCGGCCACCCACACCTCCCGTAACATAATCACTAATCAATGCGTTATTCTGGGCGGCCAGCAGCAGTATAAAGTTGATAGTGCGGTGGGGGGTCTCAACAGTACAGTACAATCCAAGGAGTGTCTTGATGTCTTACGGCTGGGAACATTGATTTTGGAGGAGCGAGGACGATTAGTCAATGTTCCCTGGACCAATAGGCTAAGCATTTATCTCATCTTCATCTGGCCTTAGTAACATATTGGGATTTCCAATGCTTTTAAAATTGAATAATGGAATATTCCTCGTCTGCTGCTGCTCCGCGGGGACACGGCGCCTGAAATGGTTTTAATGTCAGACGGAATGGCGTGTACCTAATTGCGGCGTAATGAGATACGCTGGGTGGTGTTATCGCTGAGAGAGAGGGTTGTGTCACTTCCACTGGGCCGTATTGTGATCGTCCCCGGGCTCAAGCTGGTGGCTCTCCTGGCTGAACCCAGAGAAGTAATTATTATTAGCTAAGTCTCCTTAACGACCTGAGGTTGAGCTGGACGGCTACACCAAAAAAGACCCTTTTTTTCATAGCCGGTGTAAGATGTTACTTCTATGGGACGTGTCTCTTTTATCTGCATTGCAGAGTTCTAAAGAGCTGCTGCAGGTACGCAGTATCCAGGTACTCAGGATAAATGTGCTGCTTTATCAAATAAATACGTAACCGAGAGGCCCATTAAGTGCAAACGCACGGGAGGTTGCAATTTAGATTTGTGGACAAATGAAACACTTGTGAGAGGGCGTTTAGGTAGAGGGCCAGCCCAGTGGGGCAGCACGGTTTTAAAGAGGAGAAGGTCAAACACAGGCAAAGTAAACTGGATTTGATTTATCGATTATTTGTATGGATTCAGCATCGCTTCACTGTGTTTGCAAAGTTCTGCCAAGGTGAACTGTAAGCGCTACATTACTGCTCAAAATGCAAACTCCGAGCCAAGGTGTTCTGGGTTTTGACAAGCCTCGGGCTCCATGCTCATTTTACGGGCTCTATTCAAACCCTTTAGATTGTGGACATTTCCATATCACTGCTGGGCTTGTGACAGCCAATCTCCAGCCATCAAAGATGAGTGGCAAGCCAACTCTATCCTCATTTTTACATCTGGGAAATCATATTTCACCGGGAGCTTACTCATAAGCGCAGCTCTTCAATTCCAACGTCATTCATGGCTTCCATTTCTGTCCCCTCATGTCCCATCTGTGCAGCCGGACTGTGGCTGGACTGCAGGGCCTGCCTGTAGTCTGCATTATGGATTAGACCTGGGTCATGGGATTGGGCCCTTTTAATGGAATAAGCAGCAGGTGTACGGGGTGGGTCTTTATAATGGAATAAAGGGAAAGGCTGTAAGCTCAAGGAAGAGCCAATAGTGGATTAGGGCCAAGACGAGAGCAGGAGACGGAGCGCATGAGGGAAGTTTTCCTCTCCCGCTGGTTAATCCGCTGCGCCATCAGAGATCTTCTTCTCCCGACCTCTCTGTTTTATTTGATTGGCTACGGGGGAAGAATGACATTTAAAGAGAAGCCAAGTATGAGTTGAGTTTACTCCCACCGAATCAGTCTGCTGGGGAAGAAACGCCCGGCACGATGGGCAACATTACAGCACTGATTATTTTTCCAGAATGACCATTGAAGTTCACTTTGAACTTGTGACAAGAAATGTACATTTGTTTTAATTTTTATAATAGGTTTCTAAAAAAAAAAGGCAGTACATTTGTATTGTGGTCCTAAGTGACTGTAAAACTACGGAGCAACCAGCCAGCCCAGCAACTAGAAAATAAATTAGCTAGTATTAATTTTCTAAGCAAAACTGGAGTGAATTTATTTGACTACTTAATGTTATAGTCCTAATTTCTTATAGTTTAGGCTTAACAAATGTAATTCCCACTTTTGACACTTCATGTAAATTGGGTAACACAATTAAGTGTTCTACTGGTGATGGTAGCAGCTCTGAACTAGGCGTGAAGCTGTTTTGTACAGTCGGTGCTTTAAGGGGACTATCATGCAAATGCCACTTGTTGTACATCTTTGATATACATGAATATGTGTCCCCGTGTTCCAGGGAACTCACCAATGTGTCAGAAAACACCACTCTCTATTTCCTCATACCCCAAATCTCTAAAAAAGGGGCTGCAACGGATCTGATACGGACTGGATCCAGATTTGAAACACTGTCCTGACGTCGGACGGTGGCGCTACGGCTATTGGTCAAATTCTCCACTTATCAGGGGAATGAGAGTTGGGCCACGGCGGCCATTGCTGCTCAAACGCGTGGTGGGGAGATGCTATAGTGCATATGTCAGCCTGTAAGTGGCGCTTGTAGTCTGCCACAAAAGCAGCGAAGAAGGGACTTCCCTTCATGCAAGATCTAGATCCCATCCACTTCGCGTCGGGCTCCATGATCAGCCTGTCGTGTTCTTTTCCCCATAATGACCGCGTCGCTGCACATTATCCCGCTTATACACGGTTCACAATTCTCAACAAAGTAACGACAATTGACTCCCAATATTAATTGGAATGCTTTTATGGATTTTAAAATTCATTTTTTGATTTAAAAAATAGTTGTTATGTCCATCCATCCATCCATCTTCTCCCGCTTATCCGTGGTTTCTGGGTGCGATGGTAGCAGTTCAGCAGAGGCCCCCCCCAACTTCTTTTCCCTGGGCCACATCAACCAGCTCGACTGGGGATCCCATAGGCGGGGCTTCCCGGCCAGGCGAAGAGATATATCCCTCCACCTGGTCTAGGTCTACCCATTTGGTCTGCTTGCCAGTCTGACGTGGCCTGGAACACCTCCCTAGGGGAGGTGCCAGTGGGCATCCTAACTAGGTCCCGAATCCACCGCCAACTGGCTCCTTTCGACGCGAAGGAGGAGGGTTCAACTCCGAGTTCCTCCGGATGACCGAACCTTCTTCACCTTATCCCTAGGGAGACACCAGCCACCCTGCGGGAACAACCCATCTCGGCCCGTCGTTGTACCCGCGATCTGTTCTTTCGGTCATGACCCTCCTTCATGACCATAGTGAGGGTAGGACGAA